TGGCTCATAACGGTAGGGGTTTGGTGTATTGGATCCAGGAAGTTCTGTACATGCACATGTGACACTGTAGCTGTTTTTTTCCTTATGTGTTGATTCAGCTGGTCTTGAAGGGCATTTCAAGAAGTTGTGTTCAGTATTGTTGAATCATGTGAACATCTAAATATATATATAATACTATATAATACATATATGCCAAAAAAGAACCAACGTGACTTTTACTCTCACATGAGCCATCCAATCAACTACACGCCAAAACTCTCACACACACACGGCTCACACTTCTCGGACCAGCCGCTGACCGCTGAGGTGCCATTGGATGGCAACGCGAATCTAGCCTGTCTTCAGCGAATCAAAGAGTATGCCCTAGAGAGTGTGATGGCTTTTATGGTGGTCCCGAAATAGATAGTGGCACGGTTTCCAATACATTTGGTTAGTGGGGATCTACGAACGTCTATCTATTTGGGGTCTATATAAAGATGATCAATGATCAAACTGCAGTACGTAGTAATTGAGCATAAGTGCCGCTTTGAGATTCCACCCATCGCGGGCCCTTCTGAAAGCTGGTGACAAGGTCTTCAGAGTGACCGACCGCTGCAGATGATGACAGACATTTCCTTCGAAGGAAGTACTTTTTTTTAGGTCAGAATTTCTTGTGATTGTGATGGCAACACAGTGTCCCGCACGAGGAATCTGATCATCTAGGTTTTGGCCGAGGCACACGCACGCGCACCTAAAAAACAGGCAATAGGAAGCGCAAACACTCACCAGATTTCATGTCCTTTATGGCCGTGTAAAAAACACAAAAAAGACATGACCGTGCTTCCTATGACATCTAATAGCCTACTTGCTGTTGCTTGAAAAGTGGGTATGCTATTGAACATGTGTTGGAATTGCTGGCCGGGGCAGTAGCGTGGCAACGGCGTCCCGACAAATGCCAGGCGCGGAAGAAGAGGAGAACCTTTTTCATCCAAGATGTGGCTTGCCTCAGCCCATGAAGGGTTAGCCGTTTGTGCCTGAAATCTGAAAGATGCCTCGAAGTTTTACCGAAACAGAGAAGACCCAAACAGAGGGGTTTCCGCAAGCTGTTGCCGAAAGCTCCTAAGCCTAAGCGGCTCCAGTGGAAGTTGGGTATCCAGTAGTTCAAAAGGCTAGGTACCCAGAGCTTCTTTTGGAGGCCAATTGGAACATGGACTTGGCATGATTCCAATGGCACAAATGTTGGTTGCTGAGCAGGCACTTCAATGATTTTAAGCTGTAGATAACTTTCTTGGTTGAGCACGATTGAACAATGTTCCAGTTCTAAACGAATGAAAGCTGACAGAACGATCCGCGGTCCACCCATTCGTGAGATTTGGGCGTGAGTTGGTGGTTTTACAGCTCGTTCGGCCGCCATGCGAGCCACAGGGGATCAAAGGGGTTTTGTGTTTTTCCGCTCCATTCAGAACGCTCAAAGCCGATTGGGAGAACGCTTCGACCCCTCCAAACTCCTCTCTATGACTGTCAATGTCATGACAAATTTCCCCCCGTCGAGGTTCCGCGTTTGGGTAGCTGGTGGAGCCACATTCTGAGAAGGTGAATGTCTTTAGAGTGACTGGATGGTCCAGTCGAACTTCGGATCCAGACGTCGGGATGTGTGGCCGAATGTTCGGGACCAAGGAGATCACCGAAATCCCCAAGGAGACCTACAAAGGGCCACCTGGCTGGCAGTTCGGGACCATGATGGTCGGAGGTTCAACTCCAAATGAGGACACTGTAGGGAACCTCGCCGAGAAGAAACATGCCCCATTCCTGTACATGCTTGATTGTTAGTTCGAAATTGTTGAAGGCCACTGGATCGCAGTGTCCAGGATGCAGAGAAAGGGATATAGCATTCAGAGGACATTCTCTGGAGAAGACCCATTGAAAAGACACTACAAAGGCCCATGTTCCTTGAAGATTCAGCGGTCGGCGGACCCCTTGCAGAAGAAGGCTTTTTTAGAGTTGCAGAGTAACGAAGGTACAGGCAGGTGGCAGGTCTCCAATAATGAAACTGATCATCCGGTTGACTTGCTAACAAATGAACGACCGCAGGTACATGAATGACCGCTCTGCCATCACCTTCCCGCAGCTTGGCTGGTGAGGAAACCAGGCTGCCAGGACTTAGGGCACTTACTGTAGCCAAGACTAATTACAGTCGCCAACCATTTTATATTCTATGTGCATTCCGCAACCGGCTTCCATGCATCATGGGAACTCGAAGCCTTTCGAATCATAGGGGGCTTTCATTCCTCAAAGCACGTGATTTGAGGCCTCACTCCGGATGTGGACCCGGACCCTGGGTGGCTCTCCTCTCCAAGGGGCCAAGGGGGCAAGGCGGTCTCTCGCAACTAGTGCTTGGTCTCCGTCTCGGTCACCGCATCGGTCACCGCAAGGACGGCCACACGACGTTGGCGTTGCGGTCCTTAGGTCCTTGCATGGAAGTGGACAAAACCGAGCGGTCCTAGCTGCGTAGCTCGAAGTTCTGGTAGATTGATTGGCCCAAATTTTGGGATGTTTTTTCGGTAGTTGACATGAGCCACGGCCTTTCATACACATAATCTGTTGGAGGCAGCGCAAGCGGCGCAAGCGTGGCGTTGACTGTTGGCCCAGGACCGTGCTGGATTTCCATCTTTTGCTCCCGCACAACACGCCTTTGATGCTTCTGGGCTGACCTTTGTTGGCCAAAAAAGCATTAGCTAGCCAATGCTAGCCAGGCAAAGTGGTCACCCCCCGCAAGACTAGAATGAAGGGGGGAACTTGGGCAGGGCGTGGCGCACATGATCGGCAGAGATCAACCTTGGGTGACTTTTCCTCAGCAATTTTGGAGTGTTCTCTTCACTAGAAGACCCAACGAGTACCATGAACTCTAGGAGACCCAATGGACTGATTATGAGATGTCCAACAAGAGATGTGGGTCATCCCAACAAACGGAGAGTAACCATCCCAACAAGTACCACTAGTAGCAAGATTATGAGATGTCCAACATGGAGCCAATGGACTCCCACCTGAACAAGCAAAGAACACTCTAATTTCTGTCGACAATATATAGACATGTGTTGTCGTTCTTGTGTTTAGTTTCTATTGTGTGTGTTTGTTTTTTGGTTCTGTCTATATACTACTATATACTGATATATACTGTATCATTAATGTTAAATCAATTCTCAGAGAAGAGTATTGGCGTCGCCCAATTGGGACCCCGTCACAAAGGACACTCTTGATCTGCTCTTGACTACTCTTAACTCAATCTATATCTACTCTAAATCTACTCTTGACTACTCTTAACTCACTCTACACCCACTCTTAACTACTCAAAACCCTCTCTTAACTACTCTTTGCTGCTCTTAACTACTCTTCACTGCTCTGGACTACTCTTGACCACTCTTGACCACTCATAACTAGTTTCCACTCATTTGTATCAGCACAAAGCTCGTGTTTGCGCTCACCTGGGTGTCATTCTTGGAGAAGGATGGCGCTAAGCGAGCACTGGGCAGAGAAAGTTGTTGTGGTCTGTGCAGGCCACAGTTAAATTCATGTGCATCCCCGAGAGGGGGATGCATTTCAAAGCCAATGGGCCGTGGTAGAGCTATGGCAGGCACATCTGATGAGCCTTTGGCCTTTGTGCCTCACTGCCCATTCTATATTATATATATATAATTTAATCCTATCACGTCCACACTCTTGTGACTCCCTAGCTCCTGAGGATATATACATGATATTTGCATATATTTGCTACCCACCGCCCCACCCCAAAAAGTATACCTTTTCTTGTCATTGAAGCAGATGATCAAATGGTTTATGTCCTTTCTTACCCAAACAGTGTGGACACACTAGGGGTTCTTACGGTAAGGGTTAAGCACCAGTGTCTACTCGAGGTGTCGTGCGGGCGTGTGTGGTTAGTTCGCTGCTATTTACAGTACATGCATGCCTCTCGAAATCCTCGAAGTGCATTTCGACCGCAGGCTTGCAGAATCTGGTGGGCTGGCGTGGGTGCTTGTCGCGACTGGGCTCTCGTTGTGGTGCCGCGCGCATTTTCGGACATGGTGCCCACTTTTCGTGGCAGGCGCAAGGGAAACCTCGTGCCTTGGTGGTTCAAGTCGATTTTTCCTGAAAGGTGCAAGGGATCGGAGCGGCTTTACTTCGAAGTGCAGATTTCGTGGCAGGTGCAGCACTTTGGACATGCATGGTGGTGATCTTTGAGGCGCTCTGATTTCGTGACACGTGCAGTGAACCGTGACTTTTGGACATGTGGCTCGTTTGCAGCTGCCATGGCAGGTGCAATACTTAGTGGACCTTGAAGTGCCGATTTCGTGGCAGGCGCAGCACCTTGTGAACCTCGAAGTGCAGATTTCGTGGTAGGCGCAGCACTTTGTGAACCTCAAAGTGCAGATTTTGGCAGGCGTTGCATTTTGTATCATTTGTGAACCTTGAAGTGCAGATTTCGTGGCAGGGGTAGTAGCATTTTGCGAACCCTCACACACGCTCACTCTCACTCTCACTCTCACTCCCATTCTTACTCTCACTCTCACTCTCACTCACTCTCACTCTCTCTCTCTCTCACACACACACACTCTCTCTCTCTCTCTCACCCTCACCCTCACCCTCACCCTCACCCTCACCCTCACTTTCACTCACTCACACTCTCACTCTCACTCTCACTCTCACTCTCACTCTCACTCTCACTC